CTCTTAAAAGAGCCTTTGAGTTATAAAGTGAAGAACAACAAAAAAGAGGAGAGAGATGGAGGGGTGGGGTGCATGACAATGACAAGGATCTGCAAAAAGAAGGAAATACAGAGAATCGGTATTAGCATAAAATGTTTTATTTTTTACTCGTGCAGGGGTGTCCAAAGTCGGTTCTGGAGGTCCACTGTCCTGCAGAATTTAGCTCTAACTTGCCTCAACACACCTGCCTAGAAGTTCCTAGTATGCCTAATAAGGTCTTGATTGGCTGGTTCAGGTGTGTTTAATTGGGGATGGAGCTGAACTCTGCAGGACAGTGGCCCTCCAGGAGCAGGATTGGGCACCTACTCTAGTGCATATACTGTATAGCAGCATAACAGTATGTAATATAAAAAACGAGCTCTACTTTCAAGGACTGTTAAACTTAATCATACTTTTTGTTGAATTAGTATTATTAAATGTAGTTTACTGTTTATTTTAATAGATGTATAATTAATAATAATAATAATAATATCTAAATATTTTACATTTAATAATTTTATTCACAGAAAAGCAATATAATTTTGTATAGCTATTGTTAATATTAACTTGTCCTATATTACTTCTGCTGGTTCAGTTTTGCCACTGTATTTCTTTTTAAGGGGCTTATTTTGGGAACACTATATCCTAATCATAATCCCACCAAAACCACACACACTAACGTTTCTAATGCTGCCTTCACGTGCTCTCGGAATTATCGTAAATACGAGTTTCCTAGGTAAACATTGCACATGAACGCCCTCCCATTTCGAAACTTTAATGCGATGAGCTTCAGAAGTGAGAATTATCAAACTTCCGATAGAATGTGAAGGCGGCATTAGGCCTACGATGCTTTTGGAAAACACAGCCCTGGTTATTTGCGTGACATGGTGGAGTGAGTAAAGTTACACGATTTTATTTTTAAACTACTTCACATTTCCTTTTAACAACACACTAAACGCCACTTTAGAATTAAAAATTGTAATGAAACAAATTAGACAAGAGATGTAGCTTGCCGGTACTCATCATGCAGCGAAGAACAGCAGAAATGAAAACCCGCTAGAATCGACGTCATGACTTGACGCCACTCACCAATGAGAACAGTTGTAGGCGGGACGAGACGTGGAGCCCCGCCCCAGATACAGCCCCACCTCGAACTACGTCATTACTTTGCCACTAACCAATGAGAAGCGTTGTGGGTGGGGTGACACGTGCAGCCCCGCCTCGATCTGCAGGCTGCAGCCGGGTACTTCTCTGCCTCCTCAACTTTAGGCCATAGACGAACATGAGCCTCCCTGTCATCCTTACAGAAATCCTCTCTAAAGCGGATTTTTCTCTCCATGCAGACCGGTGCATTTTTTGACATCCTCCAAACCATGTCACGTACAATTCTCATGCCAAATTGAATGATGATTTGCCGCGGTCTGGCGCCCTTGTACTGTGTCCACAGTATTCTGCAGTTTTTCAGGAGAGTGAGGGACGATCTGTGACAGAATATCAATCACGACACTTCTGGCATCCTCATCTTCTCTTTCTGGAACCCCATTTAGCCTCAAACACCATCTGCGTTTGTATCGGTCATGTTCCACGCATTTCTGTTTCAACAGGTCATTGTAACGGAGTTACCTGTTATTTCAAATTATCCACATCCTCCTTAACGCCTTTCAACGCCGTCGTATTGGCATCCAGAGACTCAGAAATTTTGACAATTGCATCAGTGTTCTCTTTCAGTTGGAATTCAAAGGCATGAATGTATTCCGAATTTTTAGGTCAAACTTACGACTGAGACTTTGGATGGCGGCGTACAGAACGCCTGTACTGCTTTCACTCGTTTGGGCCCAGGACTTTTGAGAGGGGTGTGAGGCATTGTCTTCTGTCGAACATCTTTAGCAGACGACACTTCAATCTCCATCGTATCAATAGTTTCCTCTCCTGCTTCCCCTGAAGCTAGTCCAACATAGGCATGTTCTCCAGTTTTCCCTGCCATAACACTTCAGCAAGTGCAGCATAAAAAGGCAAGTGAATAGTCTTGTAAAAGCAAAAATTCACACGAATGTAGTAACAAAAAGCATTAAAGTAAATAAATAATTATAAATGCAATAACCGTAGACCAATAGACGGCCTTTTACACAATTATATCAGAGCCTGTGAAAAGTTCAACTTGTCACTCCGCCATCTTGACACGCCCACCCCCAACCAAGCTTTGCTTTGACTGTCAATCACCGGCGTTGGTTTTTTTTATCTGAATCACTGCGTTTCAATATTTTAGTGAAATTTTAAACGGTAATTTTAGCAGCTCCTGAAATGGGTCATGCCATTGATATTACCAGAGCACTCAGCAGATTAAGTAAATGGAAACTCGGTTGATAGAAGGACGCAGTTGCATGGATGGAGGAAGATCAATGTAAGTGTCTAAAATGCATGCACACAGTTCAGATGAATGGTAAAAAATCGCCCTCTTTAACAGTGCAGTTTACCGAAACTAAAATAACAAACATTAACAACATTGCCATCCCATACAGAAAGGTATTCACATATATGTGAAACACTGTTAAATATATTGAAATATATTTTGAAAATATATTTAAAAAATGCATAGAACATAAGCTCATGTTGCGTGTTTAAATGTGTTTATGTGAAATTATCATGCCTCATATATGATGTAGCCTATTTTTAATCACTGCGTTTTTGCAATGCAGCCTAATTTTATTTCTACACTATAAGTTTATGGTTTAAAGCTATTATATTATATTATAGTATGTCTATCTATATATAAACTGACTTCAAACAATGTTTTGCAATACTGCTTGCATATTCTCATTGAATTTACAGTTTGATGTAGGCCTACTATCCACTTAAACAATACGTGATCAAGTTTGAGGACATTTTATCTGACTTTTATGTACTATTTCTGTAAACGCTGGTAACTTTGACGTGTTTTAATGGGCACGCGCGTTGAACATTCCAGTCGCATTTAAACTGGAGCGGAGGGAGTTACCATGGAAACGGGGCGTCAACTCAGCTGACAAGTAGCTAGCGAAACTCCATCTCCCAGTGTTGTTTTCACTGCTTTCAGGTAAGTTTAGTCACTAAAATCACCGAAATAATACATACAACTCTCCCTGACACTTTCTTACATGTAACTGACACGTTTCTGTTCAATATTTACTTGATACCATTTTACAGAAATGGTTTAGTGTCTTCGGAAAAAAGACCATTAGCATCACAACCGTTAACTAACTATAAAGGCCAACTATAAGAGATGTTCATCATGCTCATCTGATGTTCGCTACTGTTATGAATAAGATATGTAACTTTAATACACAAGGGAAATTCCCAATATTAAACAAATAACCAAATTTACATGCATAGGACATTTGCGTTCTAAGACCGTACAGGAATACTAAACATAAAAACGCTGACCCATTATGTGATGTTTTCTCATTAAAATGGTACGATTTACTGTTAATTCAATAGAATATATGGGAGCACTAGGGAATAAGAATATGGCGGTGCAGTGGCTTCACTTCTATATCATCGTGAGTAATCCAGTTCTGTTATAGATTAGTGGTGTAAACTTATAATAATGGATTACTATGGTCACATGGACTTAATGGACACGCACGCGGTGACCATAAAGTCCTCAAGACACATCAGATTTTATTTAAAATATCACTTTACCTCAAACATCTCGTTTTTATAATCCTTGGAAGTCAAACTCAATCAAAAATAAAATTAGATTAAGCAGACCTAAAGTAGAAGAGAGATATCGCTTCTGGATTGCAAAATAACAAAAACACACCAGTGATGAATGTCTCGATATTATCTCATGTAGAAACATTTGGCAATATACAGTTAGCTTGATCAAATTTATGCACCAATAATAAATTGTGTGTTTTTTTAATATACCCAGCACCAAAAGTAAAACAGTTAACATTAGAGCTTATCGATACTACGGTCTTTTGTAATTTAGCCCCAGGGCTCGTTTAATACCGGTTTAGGTATCCATTCCTACAAGAGAAGCAAAGAAGGGTCAATTACAAAGCTACATGACAGTATATCTTGCATCTGTATTTCCAAAATACATCTTAAGCAGAAGAATAACTCAATCATTTTAAAAACAACAAAGAACAATTTTAAAAATAAATCTCAGTCTCTCTTAAAGTGTTACAGTCTCTTCTTTAGCTTGCTGAACAAGAACAGTGTAAAAAGCTTCTACTTTCCTTCATGAAAGAGTAAGCACACTACATGTGACACATGAATTATAAGACAATTGAACATAATATGAAACTCATAAGAAAACACAATGATATAATTTATATCATAAAGCAAAATGATACGCAATAAAACATTTTGACATTGTTGTTTGGGGAGGAACTCCATCTTTGAGTTGAACTGAATCTCACAGTTGAATCTGCTGGTTTTGAAGATGAAGATAAACTTTATTCACTGTGAAAACTTTAGATAATGTTTCTTTGTCATATCACTTGTATTGACTGGTTAGAACAGATTAATCCAGATGATATTCTATTGCTTAATGCATTATTGTTTCAAGTTTGATGAGAAGGCAGCATCAGATCTAAAAGTGCTGGATCTGTAGATGATCTAGTTACTGTGAATGCTTTTTGTATGACTGTGTAGAGCAGATGAACGATTGAAACACTTCCCACATGAAGTGCAGTGATACGGCTTCTCTCCAGTGTGGATCCTCTCATGTGTTTTCAGACTTGATGAATGATTGAATCTCTTGTTGCAGTGTGAACACTTATAAGGTTTCACTCCAGTGTGGATCCTCTCATGTGTTTTCAGACTTGATGAATGACTGAATCTCTTGTTGCAGTGTGAACACTTATAAGGTTTCACTCCAATGTGGATCCTCTCGTGTTTTTTCAGGTCTCCTGACCTATCGAATCTCTTGTTGCAGTGTGAACACTTATAAGGTTTCTCTCCAGTGTGGATCCTCTCGTGTTTTTTCAGGTCTCCACCAGTATGAACTCTCATGTGACCATCAAGACTATATTTGCATTTCAAACTCTTTCCACAAAGATTACATGTGTACAGTTTCTCTCCTGTATGAACTTTCATATGTGTCATAAGGCTTCCTTTTCGTGCGAAACTCTTCCCGCACTGATCACATGTGTGCGGTTTCTCTCCAGTGTGGACTACTTTGTGTTTCTTCAGGTGTCCTGACCGAGTGAATCTCTTGTCACAGTGTGAACACTTATAAGGTTTCTCTCCAGTGTGGCTGTTCATGTGATCCTTAAGGTTTGCGAAGTGTGCAAAACTCTTTCCACATTGATTACATATGAACAGTTTCTCTCCTGTATGAACTCTCATATGTGTCATAAGGTTTCCTTTTTGTGAGAAACTCTTCCCGCACTGATCACATGTGTGCGGTTTCTCTCCAGTGTGGACTACCTTGTGTTTCTTCAGGTCTCCTGACCGACTGAATCTCTTGTCACACTGTGAACACTTGTACTGTTTCTCTCCAGTGTGGATTTTCATGTGTACCTTAAGGCTTAACGATTGTGTGAAACACTTCCCGCACTGATCACAAGTGAATGGTTTCTCTCCAGTATGAACTCTCAAGTGAACATCAAGATTATATTTGCTCGTCAAACTCTTTCCACACTGAGTGCAGGTGAAAGATTTCTTGGCTCCTCTTTTCTTTAAATCTTTCTGTTTGGTTTGAGGGCAACTCAAATGTTTTTCTCCAGTTTTGACATGATTTTTCTCCTGAACTTCATTTAATTCTTCGTTCTCCTCACTTTCTTCAATAAACTCTAAAGTAAAAGCAAAAACAGTTCATTTGTCAGTAACTTGGAAAAAAAAGAGATACGTGAAAGTACATAAAAGTGAACCCTGTTGTAGCAGAGTAAAGACAATTTCTATACAAAATTTTGTTCCTTTTGATGCAATTTTATAAATTATACTTTCCTGAAACTTTATGAGTTACACTGATATTCAAAATATTATTTTTGAAACATTATAGACACAAATCCCATGTTTCTATAAGGAGAAGTATTAATTATGTTTGATCAACTACACAATTATCTAACATACATTTTGTTGAAAAAAGTGTCCCTTATTATTTGCTGCTTCATCTATATTATTCAACAGCTCTAAAGTTTCTATTACAACAAACTAAATCTTAAACTGCGTGAAACTTTATAACTGTCACTATTGTTAACGCTCTGGGGTCGAAGACCACACTGGTGTGGTCGGTCATGTTTTTTCTTGCAAAAAGAAACGATAGATAGATAGATAGATAGATAGATAGATAGATAGATAGGAGTGATACACAGCCCTATCGCCCAGCCCTAGTTCCTACACGTAAAACCATAAATGTTCATATTAAACAGCAATGCAAGCGTGCGATCAGACGCACAGACAAACATAAATGACTTGCACAATCCATGTATTATTCGTTCAATTAATTTTTAATTAAGAATCCACAATCTGAAAATTTTTTAAACTTATTTCATTATTTCTTTACAAAATCAAAACAAAAAAACAAATAACGACTTGATATCCATATTTTTGTTTTTATGCACAAATTAAAAATGGGGAATAAGAATATGAAATATCAAAATCAAACTCATTTCGTAATCATTATTCTTATTCCCCATTTTAATTTGTGCATAGAAACGGAAATATGAATATCAAGTCGTTGTTTTTTGGTAAAGAAATAATGAAATAAGTTGCTTTTTGTTTTTCAGATTAGCGGATTCTTCATTGAAAATTAATTGAACGAATGATACACGGATTTTACATGTTAAGCTGATCTGATATTGTGTGCTCACCACATGGGAGGCTAAATGTGCGCATTGTAAAATTATTTAGAAGTCTGAATAGCTACTAGGCTATAATTACTTGAAGGGGTCATATGATGCTGCTAAAAAGAACATTATTTTGTGTATTTGGTGTAATGAAATGTGTTTATGCGGTTTAAGGTTAAAAAAACACATTATTTTCCACATACTGTACATTATTGTTTCTCCTCTATGCCCCGCCTTTCTGAAACGCGTCGATTTTTACAAAGCTCATCGGTCTACGATCGCGGATGATTTAGTTTCGAAACGAGATGCAAAAACGCCTGTTTGGCAATATTTTGGCTAAATATTTTAGACTTTTGCCTTTTATCAGGTGATTTTAGAAGTTTTTTTAAACATTCGTTTCTTATTTAATTGGTTCCACATTGTTTGCTGATTTTTACTTTATTTAAACCTTGTGTCATTTATTTATTTTATTTGACATCAAGGTGTATGCCGTGCCTCCAAGCTTTCTTACTCGTTTTGCTAATGAATATTTGGGTTAAACTGTTCTGGAACAGTGTTGTAAATACAACTTAACTACTGATTTCTAGTCGTGTCCTCTTTTGGAAGGCCAAACAAAGTAGTTTCGCTTTCACAACGAAACAGCCTCACACACTGCAGCCTTGAGTGAGCGGAGGCCGGAGGCCTAGAGTGAGTGGCGGCCTAGAGTATGCGGAGATGGCTTGAGTGAGCAGAGGCTCACTCAATATGTTTTCATGACAGGACTGTGCAACATGATGTGGCTCCAGACAGCGAATGGTGGAGAGACTCTTGGAGCAGGTGCAAGCCATCAAACGGGTGTTTTCTCAGGACAAAAGCCGCCACCCGCTCCCGCAGCTTACATGGCAGGACATAAGTGTTCTGGAAGCGGTTAACAGCGGGTTGAAGCCTGTAGCGGAGTTTACATATATTCTCTCTGGAGAAAACCAAGTTACTGTTTCCTCACTTTCACCAATGTTGGCCCACCTGGAAGGTGTGCTGGAGAAGTCAGAGCAGGATGCCAAACTCACAGCCGACCTGAAGTGCGTCATCTTGGAGCAGATGGAAGGCAAATATGGCCATGATGCCACCCTGAGGATGATGCGCAAAGCAACCTTGCTTGACCAAAGATACAGACGAGACTAGGGCTGGGTGATATGTCAAAAATATCTTATCGATAACTGCCTTTAAAAATATTGCGATATCCGATAATATCGTCTACCTAAGTCTATGAATCAACCGTTTAAATGATTTGGTTCAATTGCAATGAATCACTTCTTAACAGTGACTTGCTGCCACCTGCTGGCGGTTTTAATTTCACATTTAAAGTATTTTTTCATTTTTAAAGGGGTAACATGATGCTTTTTTAAAGATCATTATTTTGTGTTATTCTAATTGACTGATTAAATGTAAGAATTTGACTCAAAAGATGTCATATAGGGACATTTAAGAGGGTTTATTTTCCAAATAACTATAATTTCATGTTGCAGAAAAATGTGTTTAAAAATTGTGTATGGTCTCTTGTTTTTGTTCCAAGTTACTTTCCTGTCCACTGATTTTTGCCTCTCACAAAAGCCACAAAGCTTTCCAAGAAGACAGTAAAGGCTTATGTCACGCTTGAGCTTTAGTTAGGCTGAAACTTGAAAGTTAAGTTGCACGACATAAATGCAATGTTTAGGTATTATTATTATTTTTTTTATTACTATTATTTTGATTTATGCCTTAGTTTTAGTTTGTACTGTTTACCATTTTTAAAGTAATGTGAAATTGATTTTTTTGTATTTTTATTTATTTATTTTATTGATATTTGTATTTGCATTTTGAATGTAATTTGGCAATTAAATACATTAAATGAGTTTAGTTTTCACGGTTATTATGCAATTTCAGCAATAAAAATTAACATTTTTCTAAAAAGAAAACAAATTAGTTGTTTATTTTAAGAGATCTATCTTATTATCTCTTGTATATTTAGTATTGCTCTTTAATAAAAAAAAATACTTCTTATCAGATTACTCGATTAATCAATGGAATAATCTGTAGAATACTCTATTGCTAAAATAATCGATAGCTACAGCCCTAGTAGTCAGCGCCGAACAATAGGCAAATACAATATAAACTGAGATTACAAAAGTGATTTAGTCAAGATCACTGATTTTCTTTTCTTTTGTTCTTTGATTAACATTATAATGACTGGCGGTAGCGGCTGCTGTCAATGCATGGATCCAATACACCCTTGTTTTCTTTCTCAACTCTTTTACGTTCACTTAAGACATAACCGATTGTATTTATGGGATATTTTGATATAATTCCATGTGTATTTGTCCATTCGAATGTGTAAGAACGCGAGAAAGAGAGCTCAGTCCAGTGTCCACGTATAAAAGAGGCGGCTTTTGTGCGTGCGCTTTGTGTGTGTGAGTGCACAGCGCAGAAAACAGTGCGCGAGTGCAGAAGTGAGTTATATTTCGTCTTCTTGCAGTTGAATCTTTTGAAATCACAATAAATGTGCATACAGAAATCTTGCAACTTACTAGTGCTGTGTTCAAAATATCGATACGACGATGTATCATCACAGAGATTTGACGATACGAGTATCGATACAGCTGGCCCTGTATCGATATTGTGGCACGTGTGCAGCAGTGGACCATGCTTAATTTGTTTAAAATTTTACAACATTTAAAATTGAATAGAAAAGTGCGAGGTTTCTAAAAAAGAATGAACAGAGCATATATAGGCTACAACAAGGTTTAATCTGGCCGCAGAGGAACACAACTGGGTTGCCTGATATAAAGAGACGTAATCCCCGAAACAGAGCTTCACACTTGCACAATACGGAAATATCTGCTAAGTGTGCTACTTATCTTTGTCAACCTGGCAAACGTGCACGCGCTCTCTCTCCACTGTGGATAAACGCGCTTGCTTTCTGAAA